GGGGAGTGAGATCCTCCTCCTTCTTAAGTGAGGACCACTTCAACCAGTGAGCTTTCTACCCGGATGGTGCCCAGGGTTCTGTGAGTCTGTCTCAGCACAATAAGCACAGCTGCCAGTTGGGCTCCAGCACTTGTTTTCTCTTTTCTTCTTGTCACTAGACACCAGGGCTTTAATTGCTCAGCCAGACTCAGCCAGGGAGTAGTTTCTAGCTTCCATCTGACTGTGCCCAGGCTTCCTGCCTCTCCCCAAACCCTCAAATGTGAATAGTAATAGTCATCAGGCAAAGGTGATGAGTGGGCAGAACTGACCCTGAGCTCTCTCTGTCCTTTCTTTAATCCACCCCCCGCTTTTCTTCCCTCAGGGTCGCCCTCCCACCTGCAGCTCAGGAGCTGCTGGGGAGACACCCCGTCAGGCCCAGGTCTCAGCCGGCTGTCTTGGCCTCCCTGATGCACTTCCCCATCTGGACTTCATGTTCAGTGCCCCAGGTCCTCAGGACAGTGCTCGGTGGGAGAGCTGCCTGGAAGCCATGGCTGCTAGAGAGGCCAATGGCAGAACTCTCTGGCCGAGCTGCCGTGCTTATTCCCCAGTTTCACTCAGATATTCTACTGTGACAGTTTGGATCTGGAATGTCCCCCAGGGTGTCTATTTTGAAAGTTTGGTCCCAAATATTCAGAGGTGAGGCTTTGGGGAAAGGACGGGATCATGAGAGCTCTGGTTTCATCCATGGCTTGATCCATTGTTAGATTCACAATTAAATGGGTTATTGGCAGGTGGTGGAAACGGGAGGAGACGGGCCTAGTCAGAGGAAGTAGGTCACTGGGAACATGCTCTGGAAGGGCATATGTTGCCCCTGCCCCTTACTCTCTCCCTCCTTCTCTCTCTCTCTCTCTCTCTCTCTCTCTCCTTCCTGGCCACCCTAGGTGAACGGCTGCACTCCACCTTACCTTCTCTACGATGATGCCCATCTCACCACAGGCCCATAGCAACGAAGCCAGCTGACCAGGGCCTGAAATCTCTGAAACTGAGAGCCATCATCAAGGTTTCCTCCTTCTAAGTTGATTGTCTCTGGTGTTTTGGAATGGAAAGCTGACTAATATCATCTGTAGGGATAGGAGGATCAACTAAAATGTTAAGGGAGAAGTAAAGAGGGAGAGAGCCATACGCCTGGGAGTTGGCTGTGGCCAAAAAATTAAAAATACTGACCTGGGGGCTGGGAGTATAGAACATACGCTTAGCGTGAATGAAGCCTGGGGCTCAATTCTCCCCTCCCCCCCAAAAAAGAAGGAGATAAAAGAAAGAAGGGAACAAAGAAAAAGAAAAACACATTTGCAAATTCTTTGAAATGGAGAAGGCATTATGTGTATTAAAAAAAAAAAGCCCCATCCGTGCCCCCATACATCTTGGAGCACATTTTGTCAGAAGAATTCACTAAAAACTAAATTGCCAATGATGATGGTGATAAACGAGCACAGTGCTGTTGGAGTTTTGAGAGGTATTGAGTAAGTCATTCAGATGTGAAGGCTGAGGGGCAAAGGTGGTGACTGTGGTAGAACCAGGCTGTCACCAGGAGAGATAAACCACACACAGTTGTTGCCTCTGCTCTCCTTCCATGATGCTCAGAGCAGGACCATGACCAGCCCTCTAATGTCATCAGCCCTTAGCTGCAGTATGTGGCCCATAGCTGCTGTTTGATTATACATTTGTTGAAAAAAAAATCAATGAATAAATGAATGAGCCTGGTGACTTAGCTTTTCCCATTATTTCAATCAGAAATATGAAAACTGGAGAGTCACTTACCCACCTCCCATCTCCCCCATGAATCTTGCCGACTTCTCCCTCTTCCTCAGTGAACCCTTCCGACTCCTAGCTTGCCCTTCGTTCATGGTGTCGATCTGAGTGGGATCCTTCAGGCTGTGTCCACTGTGTTATTCAGAATATCATCAGCCGCCCTGGCTCTAGGGCAGAGATGTCTCCAGAGAGTGGTGACCCTCACCAATAAGCACATGGGATACCTTCAAGGCATCCACTCGAATCCTGGGGTCTCAAACTGGATAAACTATGATATTCTCTTGAGTGGGAAGTTGGGGGAGGGCAGGGGCCCACTGGGTCCTGGTACTAAGGTGAAACTAAAGGTACTAGAACTAATGATACTGTAAAGGTAAAATTTCTAAGCTGATTCCAAGCTGCAAAAGCTTGAGTTAAACCATAAAAGACTGGGCATTGTAAAGCTTCTAGATTACAAGGCCTGGGCTAAAAAGTAAAAGACAATTGTTACAATTGTAAAAGTCTATTGTTACAATTCCTCTGCTACCCTCGAACCTGTAATCTCTGTAAATTGTTAGGACAATGCGGGAACTGCCCAGTAAATATCTCCATTGATTCCCTGGTTGTTTAATAGCTAAGGGCTCCAGGTAACTTGGCACATAAGCATCTAGGCTCCAAAATCAATCAGTTTAAATGTGTACCCCGCTTAGAAATGACCAATCACCCCTGCCCAGATTGTTCCCGCCAATGAATGTACTAATCCTGTCTCAGAATTGTTGTTCAATTTTCCCACGCCTCATGATGATTTATTCTGATGTATGCAAAGCCCACCGCCCTCCCCAAAAAGTGTACTTAAGCTCTGCTTGACCTCTGCTCTGGGCTCTGGGCTGCTCTCCTTTCTTGAGTGAGCACGGAGCCCCAGCACGCTGGAATGGATCCCCAATAAATATCCCCTTTTGCCAATTACATGGAGCCGGTCTCTTGGGTGGTCTCTCCCTCTGACGCTCCGCCGGACCCCTTTACAATACCAATACCATGGTACTAGTGGTGAAAAGGCCAAAAAAAGATGGGCATGGATCCATCTCTACTTCTGCTACCAACTCATTCGGGGACCTTGGGACCTTAGGCAAGCTGCCTATATTCTCCTACCTCCGACCCTCTGCTGTAGGACAGGGGTGGCAGGATACACTTGGCCACCAACGAGGTTCTTGTGAGAGAACCTGATGGCAAATGTACTAGTCAGCTTTCACAAAAGAAGGAACCTAAAGAGGCAAGGTTGATTGTGGCTCAAGACTTCAGAGTTTCAGTCCACGGTCACTTGACCTTGTTGCTTTGGGCCTGTGCCAGCACAGAACACCATGATGGGAGCATGTGGCAGGGGAAGCCCTCACCTCAAGGCAGCAGGGAAGCCAAGTCAGAGACAGGAAGGTGCCGGGTCCCCATATCCCCTTCAAGGGCACACCCCTGGTGGCCCAACGTCCTCCCACTAGGCCCCAGCTCTTCAAAGTTCTGCCACCTGCCAGGAGCACCCCAGGCAGGAGACCAAGCCTGCAACCCGGGAGCCTCTGGGGCACATTCAGGACCCAAGCTTTAGCAGAAAACCTCTTTGAAAAGTTTAATATTCTTTTTTTTTAATTATGTATTTATTTCCATTAGGTATCTAGGACAGCAGGATGCATTTTGATTCATCGTACACAATTGCAGCATGACTTTTCATTTCTCTGGCTGTACACCATGTAGCGTCACACCCCGTGTGCAGTCATACATGTATCTAGAGTAATGATGCCCATCTCACCCCCATGCCCCTCCCGATCCTCCCTCCCCAAAGTTTAATATTCTGTTTAATATGCTTTCTAGTGAATGAAATCTTCCTAGGGACATTTAGCATTTAGCTTTGTCCATGACTCTCACCCCTTTCCTTAAATGGGGGAAAAAAATGCCTGTATTTCCTCCTCTACTTTTCTCTAGTCAGGACTCAAAAAGAAGAGAAAAGGCAACATCATTTTCTGAGTTTCTCAGCCACTGAATTTTACACTGTAGAAAACTCTCGATTCCATGTGAAAATTCACATGTAAACGAATTTCTTTAACCTAAAGGCTGTTTACACATTCAAAAGAACTTCCTATTTCCCCCCATTGTTAGCTCTTTATTTCTCCTGAGTTTGTTCAGCAGCCCCTGAGAAAACCTCTGAGCAACTCCTCCCCACAATAAGCTATTTGGAATCAGTGTGAGACCCTTAATTTCATTAACACCATTATAGTTTCCCAACAAGGGTACATGAGATAAACTACATTTACACCAGGAAGGAAGGAAATTAATTTTACACAATTGAATAAAGGGAAAGGCTGAACAAAAGTAGCAATTTAACAGGGATTATGGAAAATCCTGAATCAAGAGGCTAAGAGGTCACATGCCCCTGATAGGTTTCAAAATAATTCCCCAAATCCTAATAGCAACAATTTAGCAGAGGCCCCAAAGCTGAGATGGTCCTTAAGAAATGAAAATTGATGGGAATCTGGAGAAAGGGAATTATATCATAATCAGAAATTAGGTTTGAAATGAGTAATTCACATTTAAGTCATCTGCAGAGCTTGTCTTTCAACTACTTGGAAGATTTATAGGTAATATGGTGTTTTAATCATGAAGATACCCAGGGCCTTGTATTCTAGGACAGGATTTTTTCATTTCTTTCTTTTTTTCTTCTTCTTCTTCTTTTTTTTTTTTTTTTTTTGGTACCAGAGATTGAACCCAGGTGTCCTTAACCACAGAATCTCACTAAGTTGTTTAGGGCCTTGCTAAATTGCTGAGGCTGGCCTGAAACTAGCGATCCTCCTGCCTCAGCTTCCTAAGCCACTGGGATCACAGGCATGCACCACCACATCTGACCAGGACAGGATATTTTAGGAGTGGAAGGGAAGGGATTCAGGAGTTATGGGAGGTTTATGGTAAAATGTAAATTTTACCATAAACAAAATGACTTCTGCCCAGTTATGGTTAGGGCAAACACAAACTGGCAAAGATAAGACCAACACCAATTCATGTGAAAGCCAAAGACTCACAGGTAAAAACCTGGGGGAAGAGTGTAGAATTTATAATCTACCCCTGACTGGAAAGTATGCAGCTGTATTGTTTTGGGGGAGGGGAGAATACCAGAATATTCTAGAATGTTCTGAATGTCCTAGACACACCAGAATATTCTAGAATATTCTAGACTCTAGAGATCATTAAAAGGAAAATCACATGCACAAGAAGCAGTCACTCTCTTGTGCTGTCTTCTCATAGGAAGCCATATCCTAATTTGACTATCACTTTTCATAAGATATAGAGACACTTGAGGTAACCAGGAGAAGAGTGACATGAATGAACAGACAAGACGCCTGATGGGAACGAGGTCCCTTGGGGAAAGCGTCAAGAATCAGAGCGGTTGGACCTAAAGAGGAAAACTGGTGAGATATTATTGTCTTCAAATGTCTGACAGGTTTTTTGCAGGAGAATGCTGATTATGTGTTCCTGGGCCCATGGAAGTCAAGGCAAAAAACAAAAATAAAGATGAAAAACAGACCAGTAAATAAATCGCCCGATGATTTTCCATTGGTGCCAGCTCACTTCTCCTTCTACAGATTAAGGCGAACCTCCTCACGGTGCAGGCAAGGTCTCATCTCATGTCACTGTGCAGGAAGGTGCTGCCTGGCTTTCTACCTGGACCGCATCTCCTGCCCCCACCAGCCCACCCAGCCCCTCCTAGGCAGCATCCACACCCACGGCCAGCTCCGCCACAGCAGAAGCTCCAGTTCAGAGAACCAGAGGTCGAACCCTAAGAAATGCTGTTAAATCAACAATTTAAAGAGGAAATTCGTAATGCCAAGAACAAAGCCGAGGAAACAGGTGTCTAATTTGGTAATGTGGACCGAGATGCCATGGGTCCTGCTCCCTGCTTTCCATTTTCATCCCCGTAACATGGTCCTTATAGTAAAATCTACAGAGCTCACTCACTTTGAGAGTAGTTTTCCTTTGGAGGAATTGTCTTAGCATGTTGTTTTGTTGTTGTTGTTGTTGTTTTGTTTGCTTGTTTGTTTTGTGTGTGTGTATGTGTTTGTTACTATAAAGAATGCCACAGGCTGGGTCGTTTCTGAAGTTTATTTCTTAGTGTTCTGGAGGCTGGAAAGTCCCAGATGGAAGGGCTGCATCTTAGGAAGCCCTGCTGTGCCATTTCATGGCAGAGACAGGGCTAGGGTGCCAGCTCATTTTAGGCCATTAATCCACTGTGGGGGCTCCACCCTCATGACCTCATCTAACCCCGCCTCCAAGTACCATCAACATAGGAATTTGGGGATTAAGTTTTCAACACATGAATTTTGTTCAGAGCAGGAATAAAGTTCATGCGTAATCTTGCTTCAAGGTGAGTGTGTGTTGCAGGGGTGAAACTTGTTGTTACCCAACCCCTGGGTAACACAAGACAACCCATTTGGCCTTCTCTGAGAAAATCTAGTGATCCAGCTGTTGATATCTAGGTTCTCCTCCCTCAATAGGCGTTCTCTGAGTCTCATTTTTATACTGATCCTAAGATGCATCCACGAACCCAGCTGAACCTACCTCATACAGCTCTTTTCATACAGGAAATAAATTCTTGGGATCTTATGGTAATTAGATAACATGCTTATTTGGGGGCAGTAGCAATTCCATCATTCACTTACATTGACCAGCCCTGTGATAGCCTGCTAATGCCCACATATATAGATTTCAATTTAGAACACACGGGGAACCCTGGGAGCAGCCTGGCTTCCTGGGATGATAAGAATGGAGTATCTCCAGCAGTTCTTCAGTATCTCTACTTGACCTGGGCAGGCTTCCTACATGACCTTCACAAAGAACCTCCAGGGAAGACAGTACTAGCCACTGCCCCTTCTGCTGTGGAAGAACTCTTTCAAATAAATCCCATTATTGCTCTCAAGTTATATTACATGAGGCTGGAAGGAATCGTGAGAAATCATTTAGTCTGTGGGCAAATAGAACTTCCCCATTGCAGAAGGCTGGACTTTTCTCTATTACATGTTCACATGCTTCCTCTTACGTTTTCATCTGTGTGTGTGTGTGTGTGTGTGTGTGTGTGTGTGTGTGTGTGTAAGACATGTTAGGACACCATAGTTTCCCCTTGTGTCTCTTACCTTCTTGACAAAATCATGCAAACTATGAATGACCCTAATCTGGTTGCGGTTGTTTGTGATTGAAAATTAATTGGGTTATAATATGCTAATCCCTATGCTAATATTTGTACCTGAAAATGCAAATGTGAGAATCCTTCCAGGGAGAAGCTGAAAGACTGGGGGGTTGTGGGAAGAGGAGGCAGGAGGGAATTGATGGGAAGGAGAAAGAACGGGAGACACAGGCCCACTTGTGAAGGGGTTTTGGTTCTTTGTGATTTATTTAAAAAAAAATTATGATGACAACAAGTTACTATTCTGAGCAGGAAAATAAAATAATCCATGGAAAGAAAAAAAAAAAAAGAGAGGAACTTAGAGCAGAAGTAGATGAAAGAAAGGTTGAGACCGGCCCTGCCTAACATCTTGCTGGAGAAGCCCAGGGGAGCTCACTGGGCCAGTTGCCTGAGGCAGGGTGAGCTGGGTCCAGGGAAGCCCCGGGGCTGGGATCCAGCAAAGTTGCTGAGTCAGCTTTCGCATGGTTGCGAGAACAGTGGCTCTCATAGGTCTCAGGGCCCCCGAGAGTGACAGAAAAGGGAAGTGACATCTTTGGAACACAGTGGAAGAGGTCGATGTGGACCATGACTCAAAGACTGGAAAACACTCCTCTGCACACAGCCCAGGCTCTGCTGCTCATTCATTTCTTCTACAAATAAATCACTACTCTCTCTGTACCACGCACTCCATTAGCCTCGGTGGGGAATGGGGGGAGGAAGAGAGGAAGGAAACACCCTCCCTCTGTCTAAAGGCTGATGAGACTGCGGTAATGGACTTGCTGAGTGTGCCTGGCACCCTGAGGTCCGCACTCACTTCCTCCTGACTGGAAACGCTCCGTGAGGAGGGAGGAAGTGGGTGGCGTCAGAGGATGAGGGTTGGGTGCTTTGTGAAGGGGCTGGAGAAAGGGCCATGACCTAATTTGCAAGAATGAAGTAAGATTGAGGATGATAGAGTAGGTCCTCTGCCTGTGACCCTCTGTCTGGGAGGTGCTTGGAGCCTGCCCCACCCTACACCTTCATCAAATCCATCCCACAGGTGATTCTCCCAGTGGGAAGCTCTGAGCTTTCCTTGGCACCCCATCTTCTTCCAATACTCCTCAAGCCCTTCTCAAAGAGGGTGAGACTTTCTTTGGCTAGTTTTCTCCTTCTGCCTTCACCAGGAAGGCACATATCATTAATGTCAGCAGATGGACCCTATATCTACTACAGAGGTCAAAGATTCCTTCACGGCTTTAGGAACACAGCAATCCAATAGGAACGGCAATGCATTAGGGAATACTGTCATCATCCTAGCCCGGGAAGGCCGTGGTGGAGGTACACTCTGCTAATGCCTTGGCTTCCTGTTGCTAAGCTCCCGGTTCCATTTGCTCTGAGGCAAAGAGTCATCAAATTGATGCCACTTATTTGTACCAATGGGCAGATGAGGTGGTGGAAATGTTGGGAGATTTCTGAAGTCCCATTCTGTGGGTGGAATCGAGGACTCTGCTTTCTGTTCTGCCAATTGGGTGGAGTGGAGTGAGGGTAGAGCTCACGGGTAGAGCACTGGCCTGGTAGGGGTGAGACCCTGGGCTTAATTACCTGCACCCCCAAAATAATAATAAACCCAGTAGAGTAGAATCTGCCAACAAACACAAATGATGTGCCACGTTGCTATTGTGGGTGCAGATAATCCATGCTCAGCGCACTTCCCGGGGGAAAGGTTTCCAGGATGTCTTTCAACGACAATAATGAGCTGTTCCCTGGGCGTAGGAGGAGAGGGTGTTTGTTGATCACACATCTTTTAATTAGTTATAGACACAGATGTTTTTCCATTTTTTTTTCTTGAAGTAAACTTGATTCTCTAATCAAAAGTGTTCAGCATAAAAAAGCAGGAGACAGACTTCCTTGGCCACCCACAGAGTCATTTTCCCACTTCCGTTATTGGTTTGGCATGCATTGTCCTGAAAGAGATGGTATCCAAAGCCCTAAAAGTCCTTGCGACAGTTTGGATGTTGAATGTTCAACAAAGGCCCGTGTTGAAGATTTGGTCCCCAGAAGGTTGCTACTGAAATCTCTGGGAGGTGGGGCCTGGCGGGAGGTCTTTAGGTCATTGGTTATGTGTCCCTGAGTGGGGATAATGGGACCCTGACCCCCTCTTCTTGTTCCTCATCATCTTTCTTTTGCTTTCTAGCCATGAGGTGAGTAGCTCTGCTCTGCCACATGCTGCCACAATGACGTCCTGCCTCAGCATAGCCACCAAGCAAAGGGACCAAGCGATCGGGAACTGCAAACCTCCAAAACTCTAAGCAAAGTAAGCTCTGTCTATTTACAAGTTTATTATTTCAGGCATTTGTTGTAATAATGGAAAGCTGGCTGACACTGTCTTCCATAAATCCTTTTGGCCCCAATCTCTCGTTTTTTATACAAATGCAGCATCAGGTGAGGTGCCACAGGTAGACAACAGCCTGCAGGTATGAAGCAAGACGCACATCAGGTTTTATCCATCCTGGTCCTAATAGGGCTTCTCTCCACCAGCAAGCGACCTATGCTCAGAACATTCGCTCGTCCTCCTCGGGCCTCAGCTTGCTTGTCCATAAAAATCTGTCTGAACTGACCACGTTTTCCAAAGCCGCTCCCAACTCCACCCCACACAAGCAAGGCCACTATGAAGGGACAAAAATGCCACTCCATTCCTGCCTGCTCATCGTCCTTTATCGTCTCAGTTCAGAATTTCATGTTTCTGTCTCCTCGCTCTTCGGAATCCCTCTCTTTGCTTCAAAGCCCAGCTCAAATAATCTCTCTTTCTGAGCCCTTTCCAGTTCTCATTCTTTGCCTCACACGCGCGTCTGAGATCGTCTCAGGGCCAATCTCATTCTAAAGGGGGCTCTGAAGCACTTCATATGAGCGTCGACTGAGATGGAGGCGTCTCTACCACAGCTGTCAACGAATGAAGCTCAGGCAGGCTCTCCTACAGTCTGGCAAGTTGGCATTTGAAGAAGCAGCACAGGCAGGAAGCTCTCCCTTGACCTTCTCACGAAATAGGCATAAAGGAATTCTCTGACCTTCCTCCAATTTAGATCATGAGACCTTCATGTGAGCGATTCTAGCCCCTCTCTGTGTTGGCAACAGGAATGTTCCTGTCTCTGAAGACATAGGGATGCAAAGAAGATTCTTGCTTGTTAAGCACCCCCCAGCTTATTGTCATTAGATCAGACCTCCTCGTCTGATCCTATTTCTGCACTATTGTCTATTCTTCATCGTACCTGAGCATAAAAACACAAGGATTTCCCTGTTTCTTGGTGTGTGGGGGGGGGTCTCCATTTTTTGTAAACTCTTCTTTCATATAAAACTTATATTAAATGAACACACGTGCTTTTCTCTTGTTAATCTGCTGTGTGTTAGAGGGCCCTCAGCATGAACCCAACCAACCATGAGAGGAAAAAATCATGCTTTGTCTTCCTCCCACCAGTTTGTAGCATCCGTGAGAGCAGAAGGGCAACCATGGCACCTGGGCAGAATCTTCTTCCCAACACTCTGAGACTGTGTTATGCATCGCAGTGCTTTGGAAGTGTGTTGCACGAAACCGACTCCACACTCTAAATGAAGGTGTCTGCATGAGGAGCATCGAGGAGGACCTACCTGGTCAGAGTCTCTCATCTCTCGGCTCCTAAAGCAGTGCCATCTGCTCTCCTTCCCTCCAGGCTCTCCCTTGTGAAGTTAAATCCTCAACTGAGGCCTCTGTGCACCTCTCCAGGTGCGCCCAGGTTGATGCTGCCTCTTGGCGGGTCCCCGAGGCCAGGGAGGCCATGCCATAT